CTGAAAAAAAAAAAAAAAGGCGGGTGAAGAAGGTTCCTCCACCCTCAGCTGGAGTTTATTTCTAGAGGCTCAAGCTGTCCTGCCACCGAAGCAGGTCGTGATCAAGTCCTCAGCCAAGGGCAGGTGTCAGGCGCCTGGAAGACTTGGAAAGTAGTCTACAAACTGCTATCAGTCCGATTTGCTTTGCTTCTGCAGTTCGCGGTGACTGGTTTGAGAGCCCGGCTGCGACGCCGCAGCTTTCCAGGAAGGTGGAGTCCTTCACCTCCCGCCGAACTTCCAGGGTGGCTTTTGGCCGACCCTTATTCACACTTGAATGAACCCAGGTGACTAACTAGTCAGACAAACAACCAACTCGCCCCAAGAATGAGGCCTAGTCATCAGAGCCAACAGACTGCTTTGGCTGTTCTTGTTGCCAGCAAGTCAAAAATCCTGAAACCTCCGAAGATCCGCTGGTAAGCAGGGAATTAAAAGGAATGGAAAAGAAAATGGNNAATGGAAAGTACTATATCATTGGGGATGATCTATGGACAACTATCAGAATCCGAACGGTAATCCCATTGCAAGCCCCTGATCTCTACATCAACTCACGATGCTTAGAATCTTGCTACATGGCCATGGCTCGACTATTCCTGCTTGATTCAGGATTCTCCCAACAAACTCTGTCTACTCCAACATCCTCTGTAGAATTCCCATGGTTTTCAGAATCGTATCCCCACCTCGGGATAGAAGTAGCGGATGAATGTCTTCATTTCCTGCAGCATCCACGATTTGGGGTTCAAGATGCATGCCATACCGGATGCAAAATCAAGGAGAAATGGATGCCGTAACAGACATGTATATATGTATACACACACTTCTGTTTAGGGTTGAATACTTAGATCAGTTCGGACTTCCATCAGAACTTGGGGTCAGCACTAGTCCAAGGATCTAGATGAGCGGCTCTTTCAATTTGGGCTTATGACCTGGGTTACTGAGTACTTGGGAAGAAGTTAGGTGGACCCCCCACC